GGAGGGGGCTCCCCGGGGAGTGGAAGGGGCCGCGCGCGCGCGCGCCCGGAGCTTTACCGACCAGAGAGAGGGGGGCTTGCTTGGAGGGAACGCGGGCGCGAGCACGCACCTTGCACGCTCCTCGGCGCTCTGCGTCTCTCTTCTCTCGACGCTCAGCGGCTGGCTGGAGGGAGGGAGGAAAGCGCCGCGCGGGGCTTCGCATGCCTGCCTCCCACCTCCGCAATGAGTCTCTGCCTATTCGGGCAGACTCGGAGAAGGCGCACGTGTGGTCCGGCGCAGATGCACACTGCCAGTCTGGTTTCTGCCTGCTACCCAAGCGCCCAGTGATAGCTCCTGAGTTTCTCTCCGCCCCAGTTTTGGCCACCTTAATAAAGTACGAGCTTCACGGACGGCCCACTCTGCACAAAAGCCCCGAAGGGCCGCAGCTCCCTTCTTCCATTCCTAAAATGGCAAATCCAAGCATTTGACCTGTTGCAGTTCCTCCACAAGAGACCCCAGTTACTTGTGCTCTTCTTGACCGTCCCCTCCCCCCTTGCCAAGAGACCAGTTTCTTTTCGACTTAGAAAAATAACTCTGCTTCACTAATGTCCTCTTTCTGAGCTTCACATAGCACCTGGTTAAAAAAAAAAAAAAAAAAAAAATCTGCTCACTATAGGTTGTATAGCCTGAGGATGTTGTACCTAACAGCCCCATCTCCCTTTCTAGTTTCAGGTTTCTGAAACAGATCGTGAACTTCATCGAGAGAATTCAGTTGGAAAACCAAGACCGGCACGTTCTTTTTCTTCAGACAATAGGCAGGAGCCAGGCAGAGTCCAGGAATTCTTGAAACATCTATCTTCCATTTGGAGGACCCTGAGTTCTATTTGAAGACAAAGGCAGTTCAATATGGCAGCAGGACTGAAGGGACATGAAGGAGCTGTTACAGTGATTTGGTGACAGTTCTTCAAACAACAGTGTCTTAAGGAAAGGTGGATCAAGAAACCCCTGAACTTTTGGGTTGCATTAAGTGAGAAATCAGCATGGCTCAGGTAAAAAGCTCTAGAGTCCTCCTCCTTCAAGATCACTGGGAAGCGTGTTTGCAGTTTCAGTCTTGAATGCTGCCTTAGTCAACATATTGACCAACCCAGTGAGCCAACCTCTGTATTAAGCACCAGGGGGAGATCTAGAGGAAGGAAAGGAGACAGGCCACAGCCCCTGCCTTCAGGGAGCTTCCAGTCAAATGAAGGAGGTAGGCTATACTGCATCACAGGCACTGATGGGACATTTGCAAAGCAACAGGTACTCAGTTTACACTTGGTACATTAAGTGCTGAGGGGCATGAGGGAGTGAACAGTCTTGTGAATGCTTCATTTGTTTTTTTCAACAGGAATTTCTTGAACTCTTGTTATATGCCAGGCATTGTGCTGGGGATGCGAAAATGAATGAGATTGTCCCAGTCCCCAGCAAGCTTCTAGGTTAGATGTGTTCGGGTGGGGGGAGACAGAGAGACGGTCTGTTATTTATCTTTATATTCACACTACCTTGCATAGTGGCTTACTAGTAGCAGAGACTCCGTGAATCTGTTGATTAAAGGAATGTGCAATAATTGAGATAAGTACGCTGCAGAAGAGAGAATGATATCTCTGCCTGGATGGAAAAAGATTAATCTTGAAGGATGCATAGGATTTTGCTACATAAATAATCAGAACAGGGCATTCAGACAAGGAGAACTTCATGGGCAGAGGCTTAGAGGTATGGGAGAATGTGATGTCTTTGGGAGTACTGCAAGTAGTGTGCTAGCTGAGGAAAGGATTTAAATGGGAAGTTTTTAGGGGGCAGGATAGATAGTGATGGATGGGAAAATCGGGGTGAGGGAATTGTTTCCTGGAGAATTAAGCAGAGTGTAACCCAGGGGTCATTTATACCTTGCTAAGGAATTAAGACTTTATTCTATAGAGAGTGGGAACTCTGAAGAATCTTAAGTAGCAGAGTGGCATCAGATCAGTGTATTTAGAAGGTAATTGTCATTGTGGGGATACAGGACGGATTGGAAAGACAGGATGACATGATAGGTTATTGTCGGTATATTTTTGTCGTCTGGCTAGGAAAGCTATGTGCAGTAATCTCTAGCTTCTCTCTCAGCTTTCTTCCAAGGACCCTCCCCTACCAGTCTCACCAGGATGACAGCCCAATTACAATATAATTGGCTTTCTTCCAGCTGCATGTATAGCTTCCTCCTTTCCATGTAGAATAGGAGCCCTTTAGTTTCTTCCTTTGTCTGTTTGCAACCCCTTTCACAGCATCATGTTCACTCTTGTTCTGAGAGGACTGTCTTTCACTAATCACTAACTTTGTACTGGGCACTGCTAATTCTATTTTACATCCTAGTTTAATTCTTAATGCTGTGAAGATAGATACTATGATAAACATTTTGCATTTAAGGAAATTTAGGCTTAAAGAGGTGGAGTAATGTGCCCAAGATTATGTAATGCAAACAGCAAGGCTAAGTGGTTTTTTGTTTTTGTTTTGTGTGTGTGTGTTTTCTTTGGTGGTTGGTTGTTGTTTTTTAACCTCCAGACCTTTGAGTCCAAAGTCCTTGAAGGTGAGAGATGGGGTTACAGGATATACTGATCATCTAAAAGGAAATTCTTTATAAATCACTTGTTGAAGTTTGCTAACCAACTACTATTTAAAAGTTTCTTCAGTAAGAAAAATATATTCTCTAGTTCTGGCTAACCAGTCAGTTTGAAGAATGTAACAGTGGAAAGAGGAAATTTTCTTAAACATTCCTTGCTTATGTAATTTTTAAACTACATGTCAGGCAGGAAATGTGAAAAAGTGTGAGTATGTACACACATAAATGACCTGGTGGTATGTCAACAGAAATTGTATATTCAACTCCAAAATCCTTCCAACCTGTTTAATTTTTATATCTGTTATAATTGACAACGCATAGGGAATTTAAAATATAAAGAGAGAAATGACCTAACTTTACTGATAAACATTAGTAGGACCTGGTAGTACATATATTTAGTACTAGTGGGGTCTGTGAAGCTGAGTGCCATTGAGAAAAGAAGGAGGAAGTTCCTCTAGAAATCTCCCACTTCAGTGGGTCATGCCCACTCACAAGGCCTAGAAATACTTCAAAGTAATATATAGACCCACACTATACCTAGCCCAGTGCTAATGATAAAAGTGTCGGTAATACTTGATTATTATATCTAAATGATGGATGACAAAATTAAGTAACTAGTTCCTGGTGAGATGAGTTAGGGAGGACTCTTGAAGGAAGCAGGGTTTTGCAGTGAGGAGGGACATTCCCTAGAGAGAAGCAGTTTGTTCATAGTTAGGAGTAAAAGGTAGTTCTGTAGAGGATGGCAGCCTGTTTTTGCCCTGCCAGGTGACCTGACACCTCATCTCCTTTCAACTTAGGCAAGTCTCCTGGCTTGTGAAGGCCTAGCAGGTGTGAGTTTGGTTCCCACTGCAGCCAGCAAGAAGATGATGCTGAGCCAGATTGCCAGCAAGCAGGCCGAGAATGGAGAGCGGGCAGGTAGCCCTGATGTGCTGAGGTGCTCGAGTCAGGTACAGCGCTTGAGTCCATTGCGACGCCTGGGGGTCGGGCGGCCCAAGCTCTCTGCCAGGATATGCCAAGCTTTGATTCCTCAGTGCTTCTGTTTAGGAAAGTGGGGTAAGGGGATCCAGCTGGGGAATGAATGAATATGGGTATTTTAGAGAGCAAAGGAAGGTCTTGTCTATACCTACAACCCCTTAAGACCAGAGTACTTGGAGAAGAAATGGATGCGTACCTTCTCTAAACCTTTGGGCAGGTGGTTTGCTCTCATTTACAAGTTACCTAAAAGCAGCATTTGATCTCCTGTCTTGTGTTCTGAGATGAACCCTTGAGTTTAGATTTGATTTGTATTCGAAGGGCCACCGAAAAGACAGCGATAAGTCCCGGAGCCGCAAAGATGAAGACAGCTTGGCTGAGCCCTCTCATTCAAAAAAGACTGTTAAAAAGGCAGGTAATGGGGTTTTCCCCAAGCTGGTAGTTTGGTAATGGGTAATCCTCCTCTTTCTTCCTTTTACGGCTCAACCTGGAGCTTTCCCTAGATGTTTTGTCCCTCACAGCCAGTGAGTGTGTCACCCTGATTTCATCCAGAGACTACTTTGGTAGTTGATCTCTGCCTTCTGCACAACATTCTTGGTAAGGGAAGGAATGTTAGGAAAGCATGAGATTCTGTGGCAAAGGACCAGGCAGACTACCCCTTTTGTCCCATTAAAAGTAATTAGTTTGGCCCTGGCCAGTATTGCTCAGTGGTTCAAGTGTTGGCCCTCCCACTGAAGGGTCGTGGGTTCGATTCCTGGTCAAGGGCACGTACCTGGGTTGTGGGTTCACTCCCTGCCCCCAGTCAGGGCACATGCAGGAGACAACCAGTTGATGTGTCTCTCTCACATTGATGTTGCTCTTTCTCTCTCTTCCCCTCCCTCCCTCCTCTCTACTCTCTCTGAAAAGCAATGGGAAAAATATCGTCTGGTGAGGATTAAAAAAATAATAATGAGCTTGACAAGGCAGGCAGTTTAGCCACCCGACCTCCTTTCTCAGAGGATCTGAACTCTTAAGAGATATGGGAGATGACAGTATCAGAGGGGTTACTTTGTCCACCAACTGGAAATAGACCGTGAGTAGAATCGGGGCAAGAAGGGGACAGAGATAGCTTCATGGTATGCCTGATTGTTGTCCCCAGGTGGTGGTAGTGGAACAAAATGGTTCTTTTCAAGTAAAGATTCCCAAAAATTTTGTTTGTGAACACTGCTTTGGAGCCTTTAGAAGCAGTTACCACCTCAAGAGACACATCCTTATTCATACTGGTAAGTCTCTTGCTCATATTCAAAAGGGGGAGAATAGTCTATAGTTTGTGTGTGCGTGTGGTTCATATTAGATTTATTTTATTTTTTATTTTATGTTGGGTTTATTTTAAAGAGTAAGTATTAGAAATAAAGAAAGAAGGTAAATGAATGAGGTAGAGGGATTGCATGGCCCTGTATCTATTGTCACGGAGACCAGCGGCTTTGTGGACCCTTCCCCATTAGGTGTCTACACAGTGCTAAAAGTTAAAATTTCTGGGAAAATACCTAGAACAAGGTCCCTGCTATGTATACCTCTGATATTAACTTCTCTCTCCATCTGGGCCAGGTGAGAAGCCATTTGAGTGTGATGTATGTGATATGCGCTTCATCCAGAAGTACCACCTGGAGCGCCACAAGCGTGTGCACAGTGGTGAAAAGCCCTACCAGTGTGAACGGTGTCATCAGGTAAACTCACATGTCATCCATCCACCCTCCAAAGAAACTTTTCCTTCCCAAAGAACCAGTGCCAGCCCCCAGTCTGACAAAGGGCTACCTAGCGTTCCTGGCCATGATCAAGTTAGTACCTCAGGGTGAGGTGTATTTCTCTTGCCTTATGCAACTGCTCATGGGGAGGGGCCGTTAGAAGAATTATAATAATAAAAACAGTAATAGCATTTCTTAAGGTCTTAATCTGTACTAGGCACTGTGAGAGCATCCTTTTTTTTTCCTTTTTCGTTTTTTTAAATATATCTTTATTGATTTTAGAGAAAGGAAAGGGGGGGGGAGAGAGAGAGAGAAACATCAATGATGAGAGAGTCATTGATCGGCTGCCTAGCCCGCAACCCGGGCATGTGCCCTGACCAGGAATCGAACCCCGGTCTCCTGGATCCTAGGTCGATGCTCAACTGCTGAGCCATGCCCGGCCGGGCTTGAGAGCATCCTTGACATAGATTGCGCTGTTCTTAGACTTACTCCATAAAGTAGCTGTGTTGTCCTCATTTCACATGTGGGAAAATTGAGATTGATAGAGGTTAAGCTTCCCAAGGACACAGCAGATCAAGGGCAGAGCCAGGATTCAGTCAAAACTTTATAGCTGGTGTGCTTTGGAGGAAGAAATGTAATCTCTGCACTGAGGGTCAGTATCTGATCTGATGAGAATGTAAGAGCCAGGACCAAAACAAAGAACAAGAGATGAGAAATGATAACAACACCTCCTAGTTTACTATGTCTCAAGCTTTGCTCCATGCTCTTACATTGAATCTTCAAAACGCTAAAATGAAAGCCCATGAGGCAGAGACTTTGTCCCTCTGGTTCTCCACTCTATCTGCAGCCCCAAGAACTGTACCTGCCTTGAGGTAGATAATAAAAATTTAATGAAAGAAGGAGCTACAGTGTGAGTAGGTACTTTTAGCCCCGTTTTATAGATGGATGTACAGATTGAAAACTGTTAGATAACTTCCCAAAGTCACACAGCTCCTTAGTGGCAGAGCCAGGATTCAGACTTCAGAGCTTGTTTGTTCTTAACCATTGTGCACTCATGCTATCTGTGTACATTCTGAGGCAACATAGAATTGGTCGTGTGCCTCCTGTGTGGGGAAGACAGATCTCTCCAACAGGTGGCTGAGTTTCTCCTCTCAGGCACTTAACCCTCCCTTTCTTCTCAGTGTTTTTCTCGGACAGATCGATTACTCAGACACAAACGGATGTGCCAAGGGTGCCAGTCCAAGACTTCCGACGGGCAGTTTTCTCTATAGGCGCAAGGGGCCCTGGGTGGTGGGAGTGATCAGAAGAATCTACCGAAGAACGCACCCTCCTCTGGTCTGATGGTCCCACCACCACCCCGTGTGTACCTGTCCCCTCCTGGAGGAGTGGACCCAGGAGACCAGAAGAGTGCATCAGGGGACAGCAGCCCCAGAGCCTCAGCTCTGTAAATAATCTGAGACTATGAGTATCTCGGGGAAGTACCTACAGCATTCCTGGGTAGGAAAGCTAGTCCCTGGACCCTTGGCTGAGGTCATAGGTGGGGGACTCAAAGTACAGGACCAAGACTGAAGTGTGGCTCCCACAACCTTGGACTCCAACTGGCAGCTGAAATGAAAAAAATTGGGGAGAGGGATTTGTTTATTTGTTTGTCCTGTTGTTTTTGTTTATTCAAAAGCAATTTCAGTAGGTGCACTGTGGATACAGGTAATCCGGAGGCATNGTTTTTGTTTATCCAAAAGCAATTTCAGTAGGTGCACTGTGGATACAGGTAATCCGGAGGCATAGAGCCATGGTCACAGGGACGATCGGTGGTCCAGCCCTCCTCCAGAATTGAGTTTTTAGTTGCAATTGATCCTCAGTGTTCCACAGCCCTGCACCTCACCTCCTGTTTGAAGGAGAATAGGACCAGGGATTGCAGCTGAGCTTACTTTGGCCTCCTTATACACTAGGGACAAAAGGAAGAACAGTAGGAGGAGCAGACGAGGGCTGGATCCAAGAAGAGTGGACAGGTACCTATTATTTCCTCTGGGGAAGACTAAGAGTTATGCCCGTGGGTGTTGTAATGGTCCATACCACACTGGTACCTAATGGGGTCAGCCTAAGTGCCTTTTGGAGGAAACTTGGGTGAGAGTGGCTCATGAAGCCTTTTCCTTCTTTCTTTGGGCAGTTGACCTTAGAAGTAGTTTGTGGCTACCTCGCTGCCATTGATTCCTAAGCCAAACAGAGGTGTTGAGTGGGGAGTCATGGATATCAAAGTAGTTCTTCCTCCTTGTGCCCTCTTAGGAACCACCCAAGTTATTCCTAAGTTGAGTAACAACTGTTCAGGAAACAAAGGAATTTGGTGTGTTCCCTGACATGACTGTTGAGCATTGTGAGCTGTTTTCTCTGCCCAAGTCTTATCACTGTATTCAGGTAGAGGAGATAGGGATCTGGCCTTTGGTCCCAAAGAACAAGATCTTGGCTTCCTGATGGCCATCCCTACCCAACAAAGAATTGAGGGGAGTGGAAGTGCAGAGAAAACTGAGGAAGAAACCTAATACAGGTTTTATTCTTAACCGTATTCTTTGCTCCTCTCTGCTCCAATACCACCATCCTATCTACCCTCAAAAAAGTGATCTGGTGTGTGTGTGGTATGTGAGTGTTCATGTTTGTATGCTCGGAGATGGCATATTATTGAGCCAATCCCTTCTCTGGCCCTCTGCGCAAGGGAGGATAAGAGTAAAACAACCTCCCCCGCCCCAAACCTGAAGTGCATAAGGTTTCAGCAGGAGCTGAGGAACTCAATTGAGGAGACTGGAGGGCTTTGTTTTGGAGGTTTTTTGGTGTTTTATTTTTTTAAGATTAATTCAACAGAGTGGGGGTTAGGATGTTTCTAACCCAAGCCAGGGGCTTGTGAACATGAATTTTCTAAAGTGAAATAAAAAACCCTCTTCCTGCTAAGAAAAGGATCCTTATGAAAGGTTCTGGGGCTTGTAGCCTGTGTTCTATGGCGTGCCCTGACCCGGGGGATGGGGAGTAATCATGGAGACTTGATGAACCTGACCAAGCTGTCAGTGGGGCTCTGAAATGGCAACCTCTAGGAAATGTGATTTCTTTCCCCAGAAAATGTAGGGAACAGCAGCAACAAACTCCTGACTGTAACCTATTCTGGAAGAGATAGCAGTGAGGGGTGGGAGCAGTCCATACCTCTGAGGTGTGAAGATTTCAGGGAAAGGAAAAGACGCATGACACCCTTTAGGTTTTCCCTGACAGCATCTGAGATCCTTTGGAGGAGGCTTTGGGGAATGTATTTGCCGCCTTTTGCTTTAGGCTGCACACCCATTGGTTGTGTACAGAACCTTCCCTGTGGCCCCTGTAAGCAGGGCATCTTTCTGCATGTGAGCCAGCCCCCCTTTCTGTGAGAGTGCTCTGCTCAGGCTGAAATTTGTCTATCATTGACCGCTGGGAATATATTCTGGGAAGGAGGACACATTTAGAAAACTGTCCTCCCAAGAGCGCTTTTGAAAATAGGAGACCTCGCTCCCTGGCACTTGGAACTAACCT